AAAAACTGCTCAATATGGCTAAAAGAGATCCAAATAAAGGGCAGAAATTACAATTTTAAATACCAATGGCTTGGTTCCAGAAGTCTTGATCGAATTAGAAACCAGTTATTGAGTTAAGTGGACTGCACTCTATTCACATTAACGGATGTGCCAAAAGCGCCGATACTTGGGATTCAGCACTCAGCTGGGCCTACGCTCAGCGCAGCTGAGGTAGGGATGGGGGGCTCTGAGCCACCTTTCCACTCCCCCAATCCTGGGCCAGACAGGACGAAAACATCCCCCAGCATAAGTTCATGAGGCTGCTTGGCTTCTCTAAATTGTCACCTGCAGCCAGATGTTGGCCCAGGGCAGATTTAGTGAAACACTGTGCATCCGCCCCCAACTTGTCCCTCTCCCCACAAAGATGGCTTAAGAGCATGTTACAGGATCAACTCAATGTCTTCTTCCATTCCCTCCTTCCTCCTGCATACCCCCTCTCTGGAGAGGGAGTGTTGGGGTGGGGGAGACGCTAGGTGGCACAGAACTGGCTGTTCTAGCTTTGAAACACTTAAGGATTTCCCTGTGTCAGGAGAACTCTCAGTTGCCCCTTTCGGACAGTGTTGCAACTGCTTTGCACAAACATCCTATGCCAGGTTTGAAGACAGTGCCCTCGTATGGCCTTGAATTTCAAACTGAACTGTATTAAATGTGTTCTGGTAACGGTGCATATGATACAGGATCATGTTTCTGAGTAACTGGGCACCTCTGCCCATATCACGATTACTGACCGTGGGCTGATTTCATCAGTGCCCTACACCCAGCACTGTCATTCACAACAAGGCAAAGCGGGTGCAGAATGCTATCAAAACAGAGCTTTGGTGTAAGTTTGCAGAGTGCCGGGCGGCAGGGACTTCATTGCATTTTCTTTCCCTCCATTGCTGTGGATGGAAATCTTTTGTTTCTCTTGTGACCCATCTTTGTGTGCTTGTATCGCTATGGTACATCTGAGTGGCATTATCTTGAATAACATTTTCCATAGGAAATATGTTATTGTCATTTTGCTTTACTGACCAGATACACTGATTCTTTTCCTGGCCTTATTTTCCAGGAGATCATTCATCATTTTCTAGTTGGCTTTTATGTGTCCCTTCTATGTCATTTTGCTTGCCTGACGCTTTGTTGCCAGGTCTCACTGAGATCCACACATATCGATGGGTCTTGACCCACTTCATTTTTAATGGTGCATATTTATTAACTATATCGGAGAATTTTAACACATTCCCAGGATAAATTAAACTCAGGCTTTCAAGATAAGCTGAACCAGTTCTCTCTGTTTCCCCCCCACCTCTAAACTGATTGCTTTGAAAGATCAAAATACTTGTCAGCTCAGGAAGAAACTCTTTAAAGGGGCATTGATTCAGGAACAAAAATATCATGACAGAGAGCAGCAGTTCTTTCACTTCTAGGGCACTGTATTTCCAAAGTTTTGATCGATCCTACCTACTGTCTTCTTTTCATCTGCACTCAAAATACTGAATCTTCCCCAAAATCAGATACAAAAAGTAGAGTCCAGGGGTGGGCAATAGGGAGGTAAATGGTCTCCCTGCTGTAAGCATACAACTGTGAGCATACAGATGGCACATCCCCTGGTGGCTGGACAGGGCATCTCCTCTTTGCCCCCTGCAGAGAGGTGTTCTGGCCTTGCTTCTTGCAACTCAGCCCTCTGGATGGGTCAGAGAATCCCATCCACTCCAAGTTAAACCAGTAGTTCCAACAAACAATAGTCCATCACCTTCACATTGGGCCTTTGATCCAACTCCAGTCTCATTAGTCCTTACCCCGGGCATCAGGGGATTAAGTAGGCCTTACCCCATGTCGGGGGAGGTGGGGTTCCAAGTCACCATTCTCAGTGGGCTGGTAGGGGGACTGTGATGGGGCACTGTGCTCACCACAGATGGTGCCCCCTTTTGGCCATCCTGAGGGTAGTTCTGCATGGACAACACCTCTTCCTGCAGTTGTACTCCGCCACGCTCGGTCTCTTTCGCCGTCTGTGGCCCCTCTCTTGCTCCGGCAGCTGCCGCCTCCTCTTTGTGTCTCAGTCCTTCAGCCGTCTCACTCTGCATAAATCAGCTATTGTGGCCACCTTTGGCTTTCTTAACCCAAACAGCATGTCAACTATAATGGCATCATTCCAGTTTCTAGCAGGTCTGGTGAGGCTTAGCCACAAAAAGGGTAAGTAAAGTTATTTAAGGGACTTGGAATTTATGCCTATGAATTCCCAGTTCTCTCTGATCCTGTCTCTCAGTGTGTGTCCCCTCATTTCAAAATGCAGTTCAGTGGACAAAAGTCAGCCTCGATGGAAGTTTCACAGTTCCACCCTCTGATGAGTCCCCTGCATCTCACCTCTTCTCTACCTCCTTTCTCAGCTTGTACAGCAATAGGCTAATTCTCCTTTGAATGTAGAAAAAGTCCATTTTTGTGATGCCCATCTTTTGTACTTTCGGGTAATTAGCCTAAAAAAAAAAACTTGTGATGGCAATTGCTTTATCTATGCTTGGGCGGTGATCTGACTTTGTGCATAAATTGTGCATGGGCGATCACAGATTTCAGTATGAGAGTCACAATGCTATTATTATGAAACAATTAAAAATCATAGCTCACATTTTAATCTCCTTCACACTGGAGATACGCCATTAATTCCAGCTTCATACCTAGGGGCCTGAGATTAGAAACTGGATGGATCCACGTGTGCAAATATCATTTAGGAAGTGAGGCCATCTTTGTCAGGGTATGCTTGTAAATATGAGAGGGAAATGACTAGTACCTTTTCCCAAGCAATAATTTGCATGCTTGAAGCCGGATTTTAGGGAAGGAAATGCAATTCAGTCTTTTTCAAATTTGCATCACACAAACAGAGAGCTAAGGAGCCACATACAGAGCCCTATAAAGATGTCTACAATGAGGAAGTTTATTCACAACTCTTCTGCAAGCTAGCACAGGATGAAGTACTTGACCCATCCTATATATAGAAGCTCTTCAGCAAAACATGGCTGCCTACTGTCCAGAAAGGTTACTGTCTTTGCAGCACTAAAGGGACTGCAGATGCCAGAGTACAGTCTGTCTTCATATTTTTGTATGTCATGATGTGGAGACTCAGTTGTGGGGGGAAATGGTTAAGTCAGGACAAATGGTGGGATTTTCAAGACCCCCGAGAGAGAGAGAGAGAGAGAGAGAGAAACATCATCATCTGGACAAGGGAAGTATTTATCAGCATTCTTAAAATTAATCCTGTAAGTGTTCTAGAAAAGGACAGGCAGGCAGAGAGGGCAGATTTGTAAAGGGAAGTGCCCACCCACTCACATAGGTAGAAAGAGCAGGGGTGGGGTGGGGGGGGGATGGTGTTAAAGAGACAGAAATGACAGGAAGAAGGGGGGAGGGGGGAGGCATAATTCAAATCTCTAATGACCTTGTATTATTCAATTCCTCTCCAGGAGGTCAAAACTAACATTCAAAGTGAAAATAAAAGGGAGTCATTTTGTCAAAGCTAATGACTGTAAGCAGAGGAAGAAAGATGCCGGAGAAAGTCTATCAGCATTTATTTAACAAGAGCTCATATCTGACAAGTCTCTTCGGTGGGCTCAGGCAAAATCTCTGAACATATTATATGATTTATGACGTCCCTCCATAGCCCTGGGGACTAGAGTCCTTTCTCCTCAAATTGCCGAGCCCCACTTAACAGAATGAGGGTATATTTCATTAGGAAGGATTCACGCATAAAGCCAGGAAGATTGTCAAAAATGCAAGGAACAAGGAGCCAAATCTTTACCTGATGTAAATCAGCCTAGTCCCGTAGAGTTACACAGGTTTACATCAGCTGAGAATTTGGCTCACGGTATCTATGACTGCTTCCTAGATCAGTGAGTATCTTTGTCGCAAGGACAGATGGAGTCACAACCTGCATTTAAAAAAAAAAGACTGGGACTATCCATCAACACAGACATCAGTAAAAACACAGCGTAAAACAATGCTGCAATCAGGTAGGCTACACTCTTTTTTCAGTTGGATGATGCCTGAGGGATGGGTTGGCATCTCATTTAAAAAGAGAGGATTCATGCAAATGTCATCGGGGACTCTAGAATAATAGCAAAGAGACGGTGTTGAATCCCTTCCACAAATTCTGTGCAGAATATGAAATGAATATTAGAGACACACTATAGCACATAAACCAAACAGCATTACCCATTACTGAGGGACTTGATCAGGATGTTCATGAATCATGTAGGGCCGGAGTCTCATTTATGCTCTGACCACTTGCCAATGCCCTGGCAGGGTAATATGGGTGCACATTACATTTACAGCGTGGTGTGAAGTGTGACCTTAGTGTACCAGTGCCACAGAGTTCTGTATTGAGAAGGTTTCAGGTATTAATGTTCAGTACATCCAGGATGTAAAAATGACTGGGTAACCTAGAAGGGGAAAAAGTGGTTAGGAAACTATGGAGACAAACATTGCTTTTGTTTTTACCAGCATGAATTCAAAGTAAGTATTGAAATCAATGCTGATTTCAAACCTCATGCTTCAGGCCAACCTCTACCTGCAGGGGCTAGGAAGAAAAATTATGTATGGGCAGATTTTCCCAGAACTGGCCACTGAAGCAGCTGACCATTGTCAGAGACAGGATACTGGACTGGATGGACTATGGTCTGAGGCAGTCTGGCCATTCCTATCTTCCTAGATAATGGATTTAAAGTGAGTCTTATTTTGGTGGGAGGGATAGCTCAGTGGTTTGAGCATTGGCCTGCTAAACCCAGGGTTGTGAGTTCAATCCCTGAAGGGGCTATTTAGGGAAGTGGGGTAAAATTCTCTCTGGGGATTGGTCCTGCTTTGAGCAGGGGGTTGGACTAGAAGACCTCCTGAGGTCCCTTCAAACCCTGAAATTCTATGATTTATTTTTGTATTTAGGTGATTTTTCCCCTTTACATTTTATACTAATAATATGTTTTCTTGTCCTTTTCCCTTAGATCTTCAGTGAGCTCTCACCTGGCCCTTGTCTAAGAGGTAATGATAAGAAAGCTCCCGCCTCTCACCCCTTTGCACATCCCTGCAGGACTAGACATCACCTGGCCCATGGGATGCTCAAGATTACTAAGTTAACATTGCAGGAAAATAATTAACTCATTTCAATGGCATTGAAGTTTGACCGACACAGCAGTTGTCATTAGAAAGTTAAAAGTTATCCCCTGTAGCTGTATCTGAGGTCTCACGGTATTCCCCTATATTTGGAACAGAGAAAGACTGGGCACTAACGTAGTAAGTGTGGCCAAAGTCAACTTTCTTATGCCATCTAAGAGTTTAAGGATTCAAAGGGAAACTCCTGAGCACTGTTAACCCAAAACCCCGGCAGCAGCTGTGGGGAGAGTGGTTTAGTGTCTGAATCCAGGAAGAAAGATGTTCTGCAACACGAGGAAGCACCTCTACCAGCTTGTCATGTGCAGGAAGAAAGGCCCAGTCCACAGGCAAAGACAGTGACACAGGTCACCATCTACCAAGTGACATCAGTGACGTGGACATTTACATTGCTTGATGACCCTGGGTAACTCAGTGGTCAGTGTGTATTACAGGTCCCCCGATCCACAGAGGATATAAGTTTGTTACCGCTGCAACTAGAGAGCTTTAGTTCAAGCTGTATCAGCCTATGCTTCTAGCTCCAGAGGTCTCCGTTCACTCCCCCGGGTGTCAGCCAAGCCATCCCAGCTGCAGCAATGAGAACAGTAAGCTGCAATGCAGAAACTACAGTAAGATGCAATCTGCTGCCTGGGCTTGTCACACACCATCCCAGCATTACTGGTAAATTGCACGCTCCATTAATTGCTTGACCACACTTTGGTTCCTTATGGAATATGCACACAAGACCAAATGACCAATACCAGTCAGGTTGATTGCTAATAGTCAATAATAGTATAGTTCAGGAAAAAAGGTTCAATATGAGACCAGTTTCCAAGAATCTGTCTTGTTAAGTTCACCCTACACAGAAGATGTGTTCCCAGAGTTCCACATTTTGGGTAGGACTATTTATAGGATGATTTTACAACTTGCAAAAGTCTTTACATATCACTAAAATCCAATGCACCCGTTCATCCCAGTTCCTTAACCTGTTGTTCTGTACCTTCCGTATCTTTGTTTTGGGCACTAGCTTTCCAGGTATTGGTCACTGAAAGTCCCTCCCCAGCTTGCACAGGGGCAGAGCTTGAATGTATTTTGCCTTTGACAGTGCCTGTTTTTCAATGCCAAAGCTGACTACAGCTTTGCAGTATGTTATTGGATACACAGCTTAGGTGAACAGGGTTATAGAAAGAAAGACATAGGCCAGGTTAGGCCACGTAACTGCTAGAAACATATATACACACAAAATGATGTTATATTGATATTGTGTGCTTAATGCATATTAATATATGATGTGAATTAGAGAGAGAGGGAGAGAGAGATAAGACCAGTATATATTAGTCAACAGCATGGAGAAAATTATATTGAATGGAAGTTATTAATGCCAATAAGTATGAACCACCAGATGAAATTTTGGAGGAAGCAGTGGAACTACTTGTAGAGTAGGGCGCTACTTAACATGAGTAAGAGTGGCAGAATTTGACCCATTATTATTAAGTATACAGAAATGGATATTTCTTCACAACATAATTACCTTAGCTTTGTTTTTTTTAATACTTTCAGTACCTAAATACTTTATCTAAAGGGATACTCAAGTGGTAAACCAATTCATACATTTATCTTTGGACAGTATAATTTTTGGTAAGGTACTTTAATTGCTCAGTGTTGAGAAAGAGATGGAAGAAATGAAAGGGATTCAGAGATGAAGAACAAAAGAGGCGGAAGTCCTAGTGAGACTTCCATATGAGGACAGATTAGAGTTGATTATCTTAGTAAGGAGATGAGTAAGGGGGAATATGCTAGATGTTACGATTGGTTCAGAGACAGTAAATCAGGAGCTCCTGTATATTCATCCCCAAAGTCACTGACAATGAAAGGCAACACTTACAAAGCTAACAAAAGGAAATGATTTTTAATCACTGCACTGATTGCCACAAGGTAGCATTGAGACCAAGAGTTTAGCAGGAGTCATAAAAAGATTAGATTTGTATTTAGTGAGATTATCCACAGTTGGATTAGACAGGAAAACACTTTTATAAAGAATTTAAACCCTCATGATTCAGGGTATCAGACAGCGCCTAAATAGATGCATGTTAGTATGATAATTCCCCTGATGGCTGGTTACTCCTTTAAGGGTTTCTTGCAACTTCCTCTGAAGTAGCTGGTACCTGACAGGCAGTGTGATCTAGTGGATAGGGCACTGGACTGCTTCTGCCACGGACTTATGGTGGGATCTTGGGCAAGTCATTTCACCTCTCTTTCTCCTCACATCCTTCGTCTCTCTGGCCTATTTAGACAGTACGCTTTGTGAAGTAGGGACTGTCTCTTACTATGCGGCTGCACAGGAGTGACTACAATAGGCCCCAATCTCAACTGAGGTCTCTAGAAATGACTGTAACATAAATAAAGAATGGTGCCCGCTGTCAGAAGCAAGATCCCAGAGCAGATAAGAATTGCGACACCAGATCAGACCACGTTCTACCTTCCTACATAGTGTAACAGGAAACATGTATAACATTATTTATGTATGGTAACGGTGTATAAATGATGTGTGCTTAATAGGGCTAGATCCTCCCTCAGCTGAGGCTACGATAGGCTTGGTGTAGCTGATGACAGGGGAGGCAAAGGATAAACCATCTTTGCACATATTCATTTCTCCGGCTGGCTGGGGCGTTATCCTGGTGTCCATACTAATCAGACTCAGGGCCTCATCCTATAGGCTGTAGTAGCAACTGTGCCTCTATGGCAGGGTTTCTGAGCAGTGGCTGTACCCCAGACCTCTCTATCCTGTACTGAGTCCCTCTACATCCATTGTTCGCATTTCCCCCATAGACATTTACTTGGGTTGCATGTAGAGGCAAGGATTTGGCCCACTGTGGGTATTTCAAGAGTTTGTAATAATCAAGCACAACCTCTCTGTTTTGCACAAGAATGCCCTTAGGCCTCCTAGCTCTAGGCCACCTCTGAGCTAACCAACTGCTGAGTACAGCCAGCGTTCCTAGCCACTGTATTTTAATAGAGCTTTAAGCATGGTGAAAAAAACTGTGCTGTAAGCACTTATAAACAGTACCGAACCAATTTCCTTCAAACTTGATTTGCTGCCTAAAACTCCCTTCACTTCTCCCCCTGCACAGCCATACGAGGACTGCCATGAAGGAGCTGTGTAGACAGGGAGCTCAAACCAGTACAGAGGGGCCAAATATTCATAGCACCAGGACTTCCCCTCGCTCATCTACCCCCTGAATCTGTGTGGTAGGAGTCTGCCTACAGTCCTACTTACTGAACACCCTTCAAAGGAAAACTCCGAGATCCCTTTTCCCTCTACTTGCATATTCTGTGTCAGGTTTCTCTGCAGGAAGGGATGGTCTATCCCACAGTTTTCAATTTGACCCTAAAGCTAACTGTAGCACTGCAGGAAGAAGCAACAATTTGTGGCAATGTGGGACAATCTCCTCTATACAAGTCCATGGACCAGAAGGATAACCAGGGCTGGGAGATGCAGGATCAGGTCCCCAGCCCTGCTCCCGCTGCTTTGCGCTGCTCTGGTCAGAAGCTTTGCACATTCTGTGGAGTTGCTCTGGGTTTACAACAGTGTCACTCCAAGCAGCATCAGGCCTTTTCACTTAATTCTCAGTTTGGGGCCTGCTCCCGCTGTTCACGTGCATGCCGAACTCCTGTGAAATGTCCAGATATGAGATCCATCAGCATTGCACGATTGAGCCCCTGTAGAAAAATGGGTGTGTAATGTCTTCTTGTGATTCTGCCATCCACAAAGCAGAACCTTTGTACCTTTGTACCTCTTCTTTTGTGGTTCAGATCAGTGGCGTAGCCAGTTTTTAACAGCAGGGGGAGCAAACACATAAAAAAGGCGCCACCCGCCACGAAGAAAAACAAAGAAAACCCCAAGTCTTGCCGCAGAAGAAAGAAGGACCTGCTGCCGAATTACCGCCGAGACCCAGAAGCTTTATGCCTTTTAATAGTGAAAATAAATATGAAAAATGCCAGAACCGGATCTGGAGCAGCAAAAGTGCAATCCTTTGCCTGAGGAGGTATAGAGGGAGGGAGAGGAGGCTGGGAAGAAAAGTTGCCCGAAGTCCTGAGCAGGTAAGTGTAGCTGGAGCAGCAGGAGCTAGAGCAGCAGCTGTGAAGGGAAGAGACCGTCCGGAGTGGAGGGCAAGTCTAGGGCTGGGCGTCAGCACACAAGCTTAAACTCCAGAGATCCAGCGCAATGCAATGGGGAGGGAGGGAGCATGTGGAGAGGAAAGGCATTTGAAATAATCATGTTAAAAAAATAACACAGAGGCAAACTTTGCTACCCTAAGGGCTCGAGCAACTTTGTGAAAAACACTGACGGAACTTGCAATCCAAACTTCCCCGACTCCCCAAACATCCAGGCAAATGTGAAACCCAGGAGAGTGACAACGCGCGTCAAAGCAGTACATTTCCAGGGAGCAAGACAGAGCTAGATGTTCTTGACCATTGGAGGCTGCATCTACAGATCTGTGCCTGGGGTGCAACGTATAGAGCTGTAGATCTCTGCACGGCTGCAGTGTACTTACAGAGAGTACAATGTAGGTCCAGGCATGGGTAACGTACAGAGAGATACTCATAGGCAAATCTTAACTGCATCTATGAACCA